TGGGGGTCAAATACAATACACAAGATCCAGCGCACTCACCTATCCACTAAACAGCAACTTCAATGTTGAAAGATTTTATTAGTTTTTTTAAAAACACCTAATCTAGGCAAAAATAATGGGGGTTTAGTTACATTATATGATTATACATTGCATAAGCCTGCCACAACGTCAATGTACCCCATCTTTGGCAGGTCCTACACTAACAGCCTAATGTCTGCTCTTATGAGATTAACCTACTGTCACGTTCTGTTCCTCGCTGCGGATCATTCTGCATTGGTTCTGGTATCCAGTACTCTTTTTGCTTTCCTTGCTTGGTTTTTCTGGTTTTCTGGTCTATGTCTGGTTTTCTTTGTTGCTGGGATTTCTGGGTTCATTTCTGTAATCCATGCCTGGGATTCCCAGTCTCCAGGTTTCCTTTAAATGTTTGTTTTATGTGCCACACCCGTTTGTTTCCACTTACCCTTTTGTTTCAGCTTGGACCTGCAGCAGTATTTCATCTCTCTGCCCTTTCTTGCAGGTAAGTGCTATTGTGGTATAGTGTGGTTGTTTTAGTTTGCATTAGGCAGTGTAGGACCTGCCAGATATGGGGTACATTGGTGTTGTTGGCAGGCTTATGCAATGTATGATCATATAATGTAACTAAATCCCCATGCTTTTCATAATTAGTGCTTAGCTATGTTTCCTCTTGTTTTACCTTGTATCTCTTGTCTTGGTTTGTATACCCAGCCCATGTACAGTCCTGTCCAGTCATGCCCATGTTATGTTCATGTTTACCTCATGTCTTGTGTATATGTTCTGGGTTTAGCTTCCTATCCTTCTCTGGTTCTGGGTTCTATTAGTTCTGTCTTGTTTTCATGTTTGGTGCCAAATTTAGTCTTGCCTTGTTTCTAGTACTGGATACAATCCTGCTGCAGAGCCTCCCTATTAAGCTCCTGGGAGGTCTGCTTAATTTCCAAGTTCCTAGTTCCTGTTATCTGCATAGGATGAATCAGGGTCTTGGTATGTGGCTGCACAAATGCTGGTGCTCAACACCAGGGGGCGTGCGGTTACCCTGCACCAGACCCTGCTAATCCACCTCCACGCTGAAGACTCCCACTTATCATCAGGCATATTGGGTCCCGGTCCACGCGCCGCCGCCTGGACACTGTGTCTGGGTTCCGGGCACCGGACTGCCACCCTGACACCTACTTGGGGAAAGAAATTCCATCTGGGGCTCTCTGCAGTACAAGGCTAAATAGGGCCCTGGGATGAGGCATCTGTGACGGGGAGGGGTGCAAAACCAAGGAGTTGGCTAGACTCCCAAATATATATAAAACAAGAGGGGGTTGGCTGCACTCACCTTAACATGCATAAATGGGGGGTGCTGCTGGGGGCCAAATAATACAATACACAAGATCCAGCGCACTCACCTATCCACTAAACAGCAACTTCAACGTTGAACTTTTTTTTTTTTTTTGGAAAAAAATTATATATATATATATATATATATATATATATATGTAATTTTATTCTAACTGTATTTTTAAATTAATATATATCTATATCAAAATACACTTAGAATGAAATTATATATCTATGTATATTCCCTTAACGACCATGGACTTACTAGGTACAACCGACAGAAAAAAGTTTTTAAGACCGCAGACGTAGCTAGTATGTCCGGGGCAAATATGACCCCTGGCGATCCAGGGCGATCAAGGTCCCCCTGCAGAACCTCCAGCCACCCCGGCCCTCCAGGGCCATGTGATTACTACATGATCACATTGCCGCAATAGAAGTCTAGGAGCTGCCAGCAGGGGGACTGTCTGAGCTGTCAGGCAGTCCCCCAGGCTGCTAAAAGTAAAAAAAAAATAATAATAATAAAATATATTATAAATGTATAATATATTGTAAAATAATTAAAGCATTTTATAATATATAATACATAGATAATGCATATATATGATTTCATTATAAGTGTACTTTGTGATATATACACATAGTGAAATCATAGATATGCATTTTATATGTATAATATATTATAAAATGCTTTAATTATAATATATTATACATATATAGGAAATAAAAGTGTGTGTGTATATATACACACACACACACACATACATATTATATACACACGTATTATATGTATATTTGTTTGTATGTATGTGTGTATGTATATGTATATGTGTGTGTGTATATATATATATATATATATATATATATATATATATATATATATATATACACACACACACACACACACATACATATTATATACACACGTATTATATGTATATTTGTTTGTATGTGTGTGTGTATATATATATATATATATATATATATACACACAGACACACATGTATATAGATATAATATAAATTGAAAAAAAAACATTTATAAAAAACAAATAAAAACTCTAACTTTGGCCAGTGTTTGTGACTAAGTGGCTACTAGAAAAGACCAGAAATACCCCATTTTGAAAATGGTATGCCATGATGGGGTTATTTCTCATTCCTGGGCTACCATATGGTCTCAAAAGGCAACACAGACCCAGCAAACCAATCTGGCAAACTGAATTGGGCAAGCCTTGTATTGACCCTGTAACTTTGCAAAACTCCATAAAACCTGTACATGGAAGTTATTGTTATACTCAGGAGACTTTGCTGAACACAAATATGAATGTTTAAAACAGTAAAACGTATCACGATGATGAAATCACCAGTAAAAGTGCAGTTTTTGTGTAAGAAAAATGCAAAAAACAAATATGAATGTTAACTTTGGCAGGCGTTTGTGGCTCAGTGGCTACTACAAAAGACTGGACATACCCCATTTTCAATACCCTGGGTTGTCTACTTTTACAAATGGTATGCCATGATGTGGTTAATTTTCATTCCTGGGCTGCTATACGGTCTCAAAGGCAACATAGGTGCAAACATGGTAAAGAGGAAAGCCCTACATTTGACCCGTGTAAGTTTGCAAAACCCTTAAACCTGAAGATTGAGGGCACTGTTGTACTCGGGAGATGTTGCTGAACACATATTGGGGTGTTCTTTGTCAGTAACAAATAACAGGAACTGATAATCCATGCCTAAAGTACAATGTGAGAGAAAAATAATAAAAAAATGACTACCCAATCGTTTGATAAAGACTGGTGGTAAAATTAGTGCATGGAAAGTGTTAAAATACCACCATTTAAAATATCCTAGGGTGTCTACGTTTCAAAATATATGGTTTGATGGGGGTAAATTACATTAGCTATCTTTAAAAATGTCCCAAATAGGATATGGGTTCATGATGGACAGCTGTGAAAATTCCAAGTTATAAAACTGGAATGCGCCCCACCAAATAAGGTCTTTTAGCCCCCAGAGAACCCAACACACTTATACATGGGTGTATCACTGTACTCAAGAGATGTTGCTGAACATATATTGGGGTGTTTTTTTTAAAGTAACCCTTTAAGTTCTCAGTATATGTATTCTTAAATTGCTATGTGTTAAAAAAAATCACCAATTATTTTATTTATTTTAAATTTGGCATAGATTGCTGGTAAAATGGTTGCATGAAAAAAGTCAAAATACCCCAGGTTTAATACCTTAGGTTGTCTTCTTTTAAAAAATATATACATGTGAAGGGTTATTCAGGACAAAATATAGAAACTATTTAGGATGGGTGTTTTTTGGCGGTTGTAGATGCCTAACAGATTTTGGGGTCAAAGTTCGAAAAAGTGTTTTTTTACATTAATTCATCAAATTTTATAATGTTTTAATAGTAAGTGATATGGTATGATGAAAATAATGGTATCTTTAGAAAGATCATTTAATGATGAGACAAATGGTATATAATGTGTGTGGGTACAGTAAATGAGTAAATGGAAAATTACAGGTTAACACAAACATCACAGAAATGTAAAAACAGTCCTGGTCCTTAACGGTAAGAAAATTGAAAAACATTCTCATCACTAAGGGGTTAAGAAATGATCATGGTACTTGTTACCCTAAACGAGATAGAAAAACTCCCCAGTACTTGGTAGATAATGCCACATATTTCAAAAGTAACAACTAATTGATTATTGTTACAGGATGTTTTGTTTTTTCATATTTAGATTTTTTTTTATTTCATTTTTTTTTCAAACTACACAGAAAAAAAAATATATACAAAAAGGAAAAAAGAAAAAAAATACCATACAAAATGCAAAAGTAATATATGACCTCCTTTTACATTATACATCCTTCGGTCTATTCTACTTTATTTTCATCTTCAGTAGCACCTTCACCTCTCTGGCATAATATTTAGTAGGAATATTTCTGCTTGCAAGGGCATCAATATACCTGTAATATTAAAAATCAGTTATTGGAGGTGTTGCCATGCATTAATAATCTTTTTGCACTGCCAAAATATGTCATAGATCCTTCCATTTCCCCACATCTCCAGCACATCCCTGTATTCTCTGGATATATTTGTGCCAATTTTTGAGGTGTCATGTACAAACGTAGCCACATTATTTTTTTTTGCAGTGCATAGAATTACAAACTGGCTTGAGGTACCCCAACGGCAGTCCTCAAGCTGCTTGGCATAGATAACATGTAAGGTAATTGCTGGGTAATACACATTTTTATGGTATATTAGGTACAAGATAAAGTTACATGCGGGCATTATACGCTGCTTACTGTTTGCTGGGTACATGCTTTAGATTGGTAGATAAAACATCACCCCTTAGACCCCTATAGCTTCACATGAGTAAAATTAGTAAGGCTGGTGCATTGTGACAGGTGAAATTTCGATATTGCCATGTTTATACTAAGCTGATTAGAATTATTGTGGTCATTTTCAGAGTCCCCTTGTGCCTCTGTTCAGCCTATGCCCTCTGTGGGCTTCACGTGTTCCCACTGCTGTCCTGCGGTCTGCGTGTGGTGAGACTCCCTCAGAGTTTGTGACAGGTGAAATTTCGATATTGCCATGTTTATACTAAGCTGATTAGAATTATTGTGGTCATTTTCAGAGTCCCCTTGTGCCTCTGTTCAGCCTATGCCCTCTGTGGGCTTCACGTGTTCCCACTGCTGTCCTGCGGTCTGCGTGTGGTGAGACTCCCTCAGAGTTTGTTGTAGGTGCTCCAAGACAGTCCAGGAGTGGTATGTGGCATCCGGCATGGTGGACTTGGACCCCGGTGAGTCTGAAGAATGGAGTGTCATGGGTTGAGGGCTGATGGTCTCTGTCGTTGGGTGAGCGCTGGTTTGCTGTGCCCCTTTCTCTGCCTCTGGTTGCTGGCCCATCTCTGTAACGGAGTCGAGAGCTTGTGATGAGTCTCAATACGTAAGTGACCCGTTAGGATGCTAGAGTGTGTGCGTGCAGCTGGTCTTTGTGGGTGTCGGATCTGTCGTTGTTTGTGATCCGCGTTGGTTGCGGCAGATGTGGGGGGGGTTGCTTTCATGCGCTCTGGTCTTGGTGCTGTTGCACACGGCCTTTGCCATCTTAGGTGTCGCACCTGAGTTGCGAGTCGGGTTGGCAATGCTGCTAGGCCTTAGTCATGTTGTAGTGGTCGGGGCACCAGGGTGAGGACCGGGATCACCCCCGCCAGTCCAGGGGGGGACAGGGCCTCTAGGGTCTGAGCCCCTGGCTGGGCACTGTTAGGCAGGATAGTGAGGCAGCGGCTGTCTGCTCCACTCACTGACTTTGGTAGTGAAGATTTCTCCTGCAGGGGACTAATACTCGTTGAGCCAGCCTCACCTTGGATTCAGTGCTCTCTGCTTGTTGAGGGCCGCTGTTGCTGGTTTAAATATTGCAGGAGCTGCTTTCTCTTGGGACCGCCCAGCTTAGCGGTCTGGCCCTGCCCCCAACTTAGCCACATTTTATATGTTGCTCCTATATGTTATATATTGTATATGGCACCCTTAGTAGATCTCATAGTCCTGTACCATTGTGAGGGCTCCCACTCATTATTTAGTTCCTTCTCCCATTTTAACATAAAAGGAATTTTCTCTGGTTTTGCTAAATTTAATATTCCTCTGTAGTTTATTGAAAGAGGCTTAACTTGGGACAGTCTACCCAAGCATAGCTTCCCAAATTCATTCATCCTAGTGTTTTCCACCTCTTTCACGTGGAGTTTCATTAAAATATGTTTCACTCTGAGGTATGTATAAAGTTCCCTGTTATGAAGATCGTATTTAATTTGTATATCTGGGAACTGGTGTATTTCTACCTGTTATTAAATGTCAGGTTTTTGTTATCCCTTTATTTCTCCATGCTGTTACATTTAAATTGTTTGTATAATAAATTAAACTTTGCAGAGTTCCATAGTAAACATAATTGCCTTTCCCCAGAAGTTTAGGGGCCCAATTCCGCCACATCTTCAGCGAGGTTTGTGTTGTGGATTAGAAGTTATGATTTATAGGATGAACACAATGTGTTGTCCAAATGAGATCCAGTATCTCATATTGTGGAACAATAGATTGTTCTAATATATGCCATAGGGGTATACTAGTCATATCTATTAGTGCTGCTGTTTGTGCTAGTATAGATGCAATGTAATATTTTTGTATATGCAGTACTCCCATTACACCCTCTGTCATTTTACAGCTCCTTGTGTTCAATGATATCCTTTGGGTTTTACGTTTCCATACATGAGCATTTATTGTTTTCTGAAAGTTTGCTATAATTGATTTAGGAATCATTATTGGTAATATGCACATTTTAACAGAATTAATCCATCCCGCCCATAATGTGGTGTTCTTATCCCAGCATTTTAACGTATCTTGTACTTCTCGTAGTAATTTGCTATGGTTGTTTTTTAGCAATTCCTGCTTCGAAACCGAAAGATGTATACCAAGGTATTTTATAGCGTTTTTTTCTCCATTCAAATTGGTATCTATCTTTCAACCTTTGAACAGTCAAGTCTTGCATATTAATAGGTAAGGCTTGGGTTTTAATAATATTATTTTTATAATACGACACTGTGCCACATTCCTTCAATAGATCCATTAGCGGCATTATTGCTTTTTCTGGGTTTGCTAATATTATCAGGACATCGTCTGCAAATAAGGCCACTTTTAGAGGTCCCATTTAGAGGTTGTGTATTTAACCCCGTTATTTGAACTTGTTTATTTATCTTATATACTAGGGGTTCAAGGGTAATGATAAAGATTAAAGGAGAGAGGGGGTAGCCCTTCCTCGTTCCATTAGAGAGGCAGAATTTACAACTCTAGCTGTTGGCTTTGGATATAATGAAAGCATACCTTGTTTGAATTTATTTGGAATTTATCTAGTACCTTCTCCATATATTACCAATGTAATCCACGCCTTTTCCGCATCAAGTGCCAGCAATAATCCCTCTGTTTTTTGTCTTTTCATTATTTCCAATATATCTATAAATCTGCGGGCATTGTCCCCCACCTGTCTGCCTGGCACAAAGCCTGCTTGTTCTGCCCCTATCAATTTGGGTAACAGTGGTTTCAATCTTAGTGCCATAATGTTTGCAAACAATTTTAGGATATGGTATTTTTGGTTGAGTTGATTTCTGCTTCAGTTGGGATGCCAATAATTTACCCACTTTATTTCCCTGTGTGTAAACAACGTGTTCTGTTATCTTTCTGCTGTCTGTAATTCTAAGTTTGCCAGTTGTTTTTTAAATTTAGAAAGTTTATTTCGTAAACAATCATTTAATGTTTGTTTATATTGTTGCTCTGTTTCTCCTATTTTTTTAGAGATTTTTTTTCTGTTCTTCTCCAAATTTTCGTTTTGCCCTTGCACCCTGTTTTATAAGTATTCCCCTTACTGTGGCCTTATGAGCCAACCATATAATTGCTATAGGGGTATCGTTATTGTTTTCTTGAAAAAAACGGGTTAATTGCATTTTAATCTGTTTCTCCCATTTTGTTAACTAATAATGCTTAATTCAAGCGCCATGGACCCTTGCCTGATATGAAGTATCAAATATGGAATATACTGGGCCATGGATGTGTCCAACACATATCTATACACTGAGTAAAAGTATAATCTCTAAGTTGAGGGTATTTAGCCCTCCATGTATCATATAGACCATGAGTTATCAGTTTTGCTAATTTTGCACTTAAAGCAACCTTTCTCACAGATGGTATCTCATATCCTGAAACATCAACCTCTGGATCCAACGTGCTATTGTAGTCTCCACAAATATATAGTTTGCCTTGTTTATATATCTCAATGCTTTTTATCGCTTTCTCTAAGAAGAAGATTTGGTTGCTATTTGGTGTGTATGTATTTAAATGGCCAATCTATATGAAATAACGTACTCACTCCCTTGGTTTTATTTTGGGCATATGCATGGTAGCTGATCGGATATCTGGGCAAGGTAAGAACTGGGGGTCTCTGGGCACAAAAATGTGTTTCCTGCAGGCACGCAGCTACCACCTGTGATTTGCGCAATTGCTGGAACAACAGTCTCCTTTTATGGGGATTATTGAGGCCATTCATGTTGAGTTGTAGGATATTAAAACAATGAGCCATAATGTATCGCTATTTGACCTTGTTCTTAACTCTTTTACACTCTATAGGCTTTATGCTTACTCTGTTTGGTCATAGGAGATCCTGTGATTTAATTTTTATTTTATTTACATACATATTTAATAATTTAGTAGTGCAAAAAAAAAAAACTAATGTAACCTTTGATACCCAGAACTAAAACTAAAAAAACCATATATACTTCAAAAAATTTGACTCATCATATTAATCTTGTAGGTTTTGCCTGCATAAAACATTGGTGGTTGATTACCATTAGCCCCTTTGAGGTATAACCACCTGATTTAGGGAGTGATTGAAAATGAAAATATGGGAGACAAGCCATATCCCGCTTATATAATTATATACATCTGCCTGGCTTTTAAATCTGTAACATAATCCTCTGTATGCTAGATTTTCCCTTTCCTTTCTTTTTAATTCTTTCCCCTCCCCTTTTTCTCTCTTTGGGGAGGAGTCAGACGGGGGACAGGGAGGGGAGGAGAGAAGAAAAAAAAAACAAAAAAAAACCTCACTTTTTCCCCTCTACCCCCTCCAACTTTTAGAAAATGAATAAATTAAATATAATGTAATCATTCAAGCTTCTACCCTCCTATTGCTGTGTATTGCTGTGTCTAGATCTATTCTATATATATCCGCCATTTTTTCCTGAAGTTGTTAATTGTCTGCTTCCGTTTTGTTAAGTTTTTCTCTCATTTTGTTATTGTTCTCGCAGAACTCATCCATTTTTTCTTCCCAGGGCAGATGTCCTTGTGCCCAACTCATGGACTTCCTTGCATATTTCTTCCGATATTTTTCTAAAATCTTGCTGTAATGATGTTCTCAGAGTGAAGAGCATATCTGCCAACCTCTTTTCTGACAGGGAAAGATCTTCTGCAGTTTCTCTTAGACTTTGTGTGGGATCTGAGTCAGAATTCAGAGTGATATGAGGGAAATCTCGCGCTGACTCCTGCACCACGATCTGATCTTCCTCTGTCTCTTTTGTTTGTTTTAAAGAACTCATGTTGTCTCTGTGATTTCAGGGGCGCCATCTAGTGGTCGTATAGGTGGTGCAGAAAGACTGAATTTATTTGTTAATATTTTTTTATTGAAATAGTTTTCACAGTTATAATACAATTATACAGACAATCTACAACAATTAGATAACAAACTTATAAACATACAACACATTACAAGGACTGAACACATACATTATTGTTTGGTATATTAGTCATCGAAGAAGGGTAGCAATAACTATTAATCTTTTAGTGGAATGAGAAATCCATTAGACAGCTAGGCCATATCTTTAATCTTTTCAATCCAATGTTCATAATAGTGTATATTCTTATTGTTAGAGTAGGCAACTCCCCTCTCCATTTCAAGCTGAAATTTAAGTTGTTTTTTATATAAGGAGATATCTGGAGATGATATTTGTTTCCATGATCTTGCAATTACTATTTTAGCAGACATAAGAGAATGTAAGGTTAGTATTTGATGGATTTTTTAAAAGTTTACCCCAGTTAATGTGGAGCAAGCCATTTTCTGGAGATTTCTTTAAATTTGTTTTAAAAAGAGACATAAAAGAATAAATAGAATCCCAAAATGTTATTATTTTCGGACAGTTCCACCAGATGTGTAACATGGTTCCTTCATGAGCTAGACATCTCCAACAAAGAGAAGAGTTGGACCCAGATATCTTGGCCAGCCTAGCTGGAACTAAGTACCATCTATGACATACTTTAACCCCATTAAGGACACAAGTTTGGTCCTTAAGGGGTTAAAGAATGTTTCAATTATGTTAAGG